CCACCCCTAAAAGCAACCCTTCTAAACACTATAAGCACTTCAGAAAGGCTATCGCTTTTCCTTTTTGGAAGTTAGAGCTATGTCGACACTGCCGTTTCAGGGCGGGGTCATTTTCAGGACTTTCGTCCCGGATTCAGGTTTTCGCACATATGCCATGTTGACCGCCATGGTCATTTTACCCTAAAACAGTTGAGATTACCTGTCCTAAATGAATCGCATACAAACTCATATACAGGTCCTAGACTAAGTAGAAAAATTCAATCGAGTGACCGATCTATGTATGGATCGAGTAAACAATCCGGGGGGTGTACACGATTTATGTTCGTGGTGATTTATTGTACTTAGTCAGTGCTTTGAAGGTTATTTAGGCAATTTCAGTTGTCTTATTTCAATATTCTTTAGGTCTTTTGCCAAGTTCACAAAAAATTCGAGCAATCGTTGTCGTTATTGTAAATTTTTGTAAATTTTAGAGCATTCGCTTTTCATGTTGTGCAAAGAATCTTTCTCCTGGAACACCCGATTTTTTCTTTAGCAGCGCAATTGCGCATGCGCTATCAAGCAGTAGATCAACGATGGCGTGACGATGCTACGAAGGAGCGACACAGTTATGTTTTCAAATATATTAAAATATTTCAGACGTGACTGTTAAGTAAATTTTTGAGAATCTACGCAATATATAAATTGTTGTTATGCATATGGGTATATTCATTATACAGAGCTGGGAAGGAGCTAGACAGTGCTTTTTTTTCAAATATATAAACATTTCAGACGTAAATATTGAGAAAATCTTTTGAGATTCTAGGCATTCAATTATTAAAAGTGTCGATATTAATATTTTGACGGTATATTCATTATATAGAGATAGGAAGGAGCGATACAGTATTGTTTTCAAATATATAAACATTTCAGACATGAATAGTGAGAAAATCTTTCAGATTCTACGCAATATATAAATTGATGTTTTGTATTCAGTTACCAGCATTCAATTAATACTTAACGATATATATTGTTTAGACCGTATATTCATTATACATCGACTGTATAAGCTGCTACACTGCTATACCACAGAGTTGATGGCTACACTCAGTACAAAGAGCGAAAAATTGCATCAGATCAGTAGAATAAACAACTATTAAACAGAAGCGGGTGTTTGTATCATATGCATGGCGCTTACGAAAAAAATAACAAACAAAATAACTTGCGAGACTATAAAAGAATATCTCTTGACTGGTCAGAGCTCTTTATTCAAACGAAAAAGACGAGGACTCAGGAGATAGCCACGTGTTATCGCCTACCGCTTGACTTCCCAGCAAGCTTTATGAAATAGAAGAAAAAGCCCTTAAAGCCTTGTTCACATGTCTGGCACAACGGGGCAAATTCGTGTTCAATGCAATATTCAATGCAATGAGAACTCTACCAGATCTTGCGAGAATCTATCTGTATCAAAGCTTTATCAAAACTGCTATAAACACTGCTATAACTGTGAAACTATTGACATCTAAAGTGACATTACTGAATACTTGCGAAAAGCTGAAAATGAGTCATGAAAAACAACTTGAACTGATCTTGGGAATATAAAGTCAAAGGTCAATGAGACTTGTAATTGTGTAGTCTATAGTTATTGTTCACAAATTAGGTTAAAATGCGGAAGCGGATGGGGAACGGAGCGGATCTACGGAGCGGATGCGGAACGGATATGGGGATAAAATGCGTTATTTTAATGAGTTTTTTCGCCTCATTTTTACGTTTCTGTGTTTTTGATTTATGTTTTTTTTTGTAATGGATGCAACGTCGTATTAACTAGTTATACAGCTATTTCAATTAAAGAGTGTCACTGAGACAATAGTCAAATGTGCAATGTGGGCGCTGAAAGGATGTAATAAGTTTAGTATATTAGTAGCCTCGTGGGGATACTTTCAGGGACAGCTCCCAATGCAAATGTAGTTTTAGAATATAAAAAATTTGGTTATTGGTGAAACAATTTAAATTTCGAGTTGTCGCGTGTAGCATCACAATAAATAAATAAATTGTATCAGTTCCACGAGGCACGACGTTTCTGATGTGTTAGGCTTGTTTCAAACGTCGTGCTACTCATGTGCCAAACGCATTATGCACTACCGGCATTCACTTAAGTGCCGATATTATTTAGGCGGTATATTCATTATACAGCGACTGTATAAGGTGCTACACCACATACTATAGAGGCTACTTAAACACTCAGTACACTGAAACCACAGAAGCTTGTAATACTCTGTGCATTGCTGAAGGCACACATACAGCACGTGCAGAGCAGCACGTGCGCGTTTGGCTCTCTAAATATAGAAATGATTATAGGATGCAGAGGACATGTTGGAAATGACGGAGTATGGAATGCGGAGTACGGAGTCTGTTAAAACATAATTTATTTGTTTATTTTGTCCAAAGATTCTATTTTAATACGACTCCATGTTTTCCACTTTATGCCCCCATACACTTGTAGTGTCTTAAACTGTCTTTCTCAATTCGAGATTTTGCACTATCCTTGGATCCCTAGTTTACTAATTCTGTCGAGATTACTAAAGTTATGAATATGGAAATCAACGAATGTGGAAGATTTTGATATATTAAATTTCTGGCTTCTGCTAAGATATTTTAGCTCACGAAATGCATGTGAACAGACTCGACTGACGATTGTGTATTTTTATAATACAATATATGGGGAATACAAACTTCATTTGAAGCCTGTCGTATTGATATAAAGTAAGAACGTAATATTTACTGCCAGTTCATCTGCTTTATGCATTGAAACACGAGCACTTATATGATATACTGTACCAATTTAAATTCACACTGTTATATGTAGATATTTGGCCGCATACACTGTATTAATAAATTAATACCATAGGCATAGCGTACTGAATTACATTCAGAGTGCCAGGCGTAGTGGTCTGTAGTTGATACCACTCCATTATATAAAGTTTAACACATCACTATAAACAAACGTAGTGAATTTTTAACGAATGCTAGCCGTAGCATTATAGTGTATAAAACGCCGTGTTCAACAGTACAATAGTTACGCAATTGTTGATTATGTGTTGACATGATTGAAATCGTTATTACTCAATAATTATCTTCAAGTGAAAGATCATATTACAGATGCGTTTTGTATACATGATATTTTCCTCTTTCGTGGCTTGACTATATTTAGCTACATTTTCAGTTAAGTTGAAAAATATATAATGAAATATGATAAAAAATGCATGGATTTCAAAAAGTTACAAAAATCTTTTTCTAAAAAAATTATCAAAAATTTTCCGTTAATCACACAATTTTTTGATGTTCCCTTTGGAGTATTTCGCCGTGAAATCGCGGGAAATGGCCATTCCAGACTTCAAAATTTTCCTGGGGAGCATGCCCCCGGACACCCCTAGAATGTATGTGTCTTAGAGCAAGACTAGTCAAATTTCGCTATCTACGCCACTGGATGTGGTAATGAAAATGTGCGTGGTATAGTATAATCATTAACCACAATTCAAATTCTATAGTACTGTATTACATGTATTGGGGTACTTGAAATTGACGCTTTCGTCTTCTCAGTGTCACTGAAGAGCAAGATAGGGTGGTCTCTTTGCTTGGAAAAACTAAACTAGAATTTCGTCCTAAAATGCCATTTCATGCCTTGTTCCACGAGGGCCTTCCGATGATGGTGAAATTCAGTAATGTTAACAACTTAACATCATTAGTTTTATCACTTTGATACATAATTGCTGGTTGACGACCCTCTGCAGGTAGTTCTTAGGGACCTCAGGGG